TTATTTTTATTTTTTATTATTATAGAGATGCAGTCTTGCTATGTTGTCTAGGCTGATCTCGAATTCTTGGCCCCAAGCAATCCTCCTGCCTCAGGTTCTCAAGTAGCTGGGACTACTGGCACACGCCACCATACCCAGCTTTATTTTTTTTTTTGTAATGAGTACACCTACAATTCTTTAAATTATTCTCCATAGTCTTTCTGGATATCTTTAAGAAATAATACCAGGGTAGATCTTGTATTTTCTCTCTTTGAATGAGGTGCACTGGCATCTCTGAGGCATTTTAGGAGACCCTAGGGTCACCGCCATGCAATATGTGCAATACAGGATGTTATTCTTCCTCAGAAAGGGAGTCGGTCTTCACTCTGGTTTGCTGAATCAGTTTGGTGGTAGGAAAATAGCCTTAGCCAGAAAAGTTACAGGTGTTGTCACATTTTATTGTTGTGTGTGTGTGTGTTTCCCTCCTGACTTCAGTCAGAGATGCAAATCTTAGGCACAGATTGCCTCATTTGTAAATTATCAACACAAATCATCTGAAGCCAGCCTCTCCTCGGCAGAGGGAGGCTAACGTGTCAGAAATAAATGCCAAGGGGCCACCAGAAACAGCAAAGACCTCTCAGAACGGCCTTTCTGTCCTGCTCCTGGACATTAGAGACGTACTCAATGGATAGGTGAGTTGGGAAGACTTGATATACAGACTTTCTTAGAGTTTATTTTTCCCCCTCTCTGGTTGTGATGAGAGACTTGAAAGTATCCTTGGCTGACTGTTTTAGAAGATGAGCTTAAGCACTGATAAATGGCTTTCAAATCAATTTTCGTTTGGGTAAATTTCTTGTTTCTCTTTTATTTTTTCTTATTCCATCTCTCTTGCTCCTCTTTCTTCATTTCTATTTCATTCTTGTGTGTGTGTGTGTGTGTGTGTGTGTGTGTGTGTGTGTGTGTGTGTGTGTGTGGTCTGTGCCCATATGATTCTTTTGAGAAAAATGCATTGAAGGAAGAATACGTTTGCATTTTGTATTAATTTTTATTTTAAGATACAGACATGGGTGTTATCTTGCAGATGGAAGACAGGCTTTTGTCTTCTTTCATTGCAATTCATTTGGCATTTCCAATTCTGTACAACCGTCTACCACCATCAAATTCCCCTGCCGTGGTTTCTGGATTGGGATGAACTCAAGGTCAAGAGGGTCTCCTCCGTTCAGGTGACCTGAATTCACGTTACGAAGACTTTCTGAGTTCAGACCTTTAGGTTTGGCAGGACTCCGAGATGATTCTCTTGTGTAGACACGTTCAAGAGTAGGTTTTGCGACTGGGCCAATTCATCCCAGAAGAACCCCGAGGACGTGGGGCGGTAAAAATTCTTTAAGAAACTGGCCCATGGGCCTTACTCATTGAGAGCTCAGGATTTGTAGAGGAATAGCTTTGGAAAACCAGTTTTAGAATATTGCAAGTAGGACTACAGCTCCCAAATTCAGTGAGGATTTCGTGATAGCAACTCACTTAACAAACACAACAACAATGATAACACTTTTTTTTTCGGTCTTTTCAACATTTGATATGTCTTCTGCCAAAGAAAGCAGTAAGCTACTTGGAGCTACATGATGAAACCACCCAGATAAGAGAAGTCGTGAACTATATTGTGAACCCATTGAATTTAATGTATACTTGTTTGACATTTGTGAGTTTAGCCCTATAGAGAGAAGCATTTAATATTATGCTGTTATTATATGGCTGTCCGTAAGATGTCCTAAGTTGATATTCCAGATGCAGTATCTATAATTGTGTTTTAAGTAGGAGAGATTTAGGCAATGGATACAAATATAAATTGTAGATTTTCAACACATGTACATTATTTTAAAGTATTGTAAAAAATGGCAATGAAAGCAATTCAACCATCTTTGGGCAGACAAAAAGCATTTCTGGGCCAGACCCAGTAGCTCACACCTGTCATCCCAGTACTATGGAAGGCTGAGGCAGGAGGATCGCTTGAGCCTGGAAACTGGTCAATGTAGCAAGATCTCGTCTCTATAAAAAATGTTACAAAATTAGCAGGATGTGGTGGCGTGCGCCTGTAGTCCCAGGTACTCAGGAGGCTGAGGCATGAGGATCACCTGAATCCAGGAGGTGGAGGCTGTGGTGAGCCGTGATTGTGTCACGGCACTGCAGCCTGGGAGACACAGTGAGACAAACACTGGTGTGATCTGGCAGGGAGAAAAAAAGTCTTGGCAGACAGCTTTTGTCTACAAGACGTTTGCAGTCTTGGGAGAAAATGTTTGCATAAAGCAAAAAGTTGCAATGTCTTGTGGCCGGTATTGCTTCAGAGCATTTGCAGAGGACAGTCTGAGAACAGATGGGGTGAACAGCTCTTTGTCTTGCTCAGAGGAAATATTCGAGGTGGATTTTGAAACACATTTAGACACAAGATAGAAGCTGGATCAATCACCCAGAGGTCCAATATTGATTATCTGATAACTGAGTGGGAATGCAGTGAGAACAGGGTTAGGTCTTTCTCCAGAAAACTGAGACCTCAGCTGGGAAGGAGCAAAATTATGACTTGGGCTAAACTGGTCTTCCTCCCTCTTTTTGTTTTTTTTTTTTTTAACTCATTCGTTGTTTTTGTTTTTTTATTTTTCTCCCAAACAAATGTTTCTTCAGCAAAACTGCTATTGACACACATTTTTTTCGGGAAATAATAAATTGCATTGATTTTTTTAATGTTGGCAAATAAAAATTGTATATATTTGGCTGGATGTGGTGGCTCATGCCTGTAATCCCTGCACTTAGTGAGGCCGAGGCAGGAGGATCGCTTGAGCCCAGAAGTTTAAGACCAGCCTGGACAGCATAGCAAGTCTTCGTCTCTACAAAAAAATTTAAAAATTAGTCTGGCATGGTAATGTGTGCTTGTAGTCCCAGCTACTTGGGAGGCTGAGGCAGGAGGATTACTTGAGCCCAGGAAGTAAGGCTGCATCCTAAGTACAGTAGATATCTTGAACTTACTTCTTCTAACTGAAACTTTGTATCTTTTGACCAGTGCTTCCCCAAGCCTCCCTCCCACCCTCAGCTACTGGCACCCACCATTCCACTCTCTGCTTCTGTGAATTCCACTGCTTTTAGATTCAACTTATAAGAGAGATCATGTAATATGTGTTGTTTTCAACCTGGTTTATTTCATTTAATGTAATATCCTCCAGATTTATCCTTTATCCATTTGAGACCAGGAGTTCAAGATTAGCCTGGGTAACATAGTGAGACCCCCCATCTCTACAAATAAAAATTACAATTAAAAAAACTAGCCATGAGTGGTGACACATGCCTATAGGCCCAGCTACTTGGGAGGCTGAGGCAGGAGGATCACTTGAGGTCAGGAGTTCAAGACCAACCTGACAGAATTTCCTCCTTTTAATAAAGCTGAATAATATTCCATTGTGTATATATACCACGTTTTCTTTTTTCTTTTAAAAGAAAAGGTATTGCTCTGTTGCCCAGGCTACAGTGCAGTGATGCATTCGTAGCTCACTGTAGCCTCGACCTCCTGGGCTCAAGTGATCCTCCTACCTTGGCCTTCTGAGTAACTGGGACTACATACATGGCTTAATTTTATTTTTTATTTTTGCACAGGTGGGATCTTGTTATGTTGCCCAGGCTGAAGCACAGTGACGCAATTATAGCTTATGGCAGCCTCAAACTCCTAGGTTCAAGTGATCCTCCTGCCTCAGCCTCCCAAGTAGCTGGGACTACAGGCACGTGCCACCACTCATGGCTAGTTTTTATTTTTATTCTTATTTTTATTTGTAGCAATGGTGACTCACTATGTTGCCCAAGCTGATCTCAAACTCCTGGCCTCAAGTGATCCTCCTGCCTCAACCTCCCAAGTAGTTTGACTTACAGTCACGAGCCATCACACCTGGTCCTTATACCACATTTTCTTTATTCATATGTCTGTCGGTGAACAAGTAGGCTGATTCCATATCTGGGCTATTGTGAAGAGTGTTGCAATAGACACACATCCATACACATGTAAATGTGAATGGAAGTCTACATGCACCTCTCCCAAGGGTTTAACCTCAGAAATCTTATTGCCTCATACTCACACATGATTGATCTCCAAGTTACACATTGGCTGACTTTGCTCCCCAGAGAAGCATTCGTTTTAGCATGTATCTGATGGGATTTGAAAGCTCAGGGGACACTGCCTCAAGCACGCCTGATACCATTCAGCTGCAATGTTCAAGGTTTAGAAGGAGAAATTCATGAACTTTGGCTGACCCTGGAAAGATGCACTTAATTTTCAATGACTTCTTGTGTTGAGAAATATAAGCGGGGACCCAAAAAAACCTGGAATTTATTTATTAAAAATTGTGTATTTATTCTCACATATTTAAACGTCCGTCACCTTCAAAGTCCTCTCCATTGGATGCAATACACCTATCAAGATGCTTTTGACACTGCTCAAAACAGTTTTTGAACTCGTCCTTGTTGATGACTTTTAGAGCTTCTGCTATTTTTTGTTTCACTACGTCCACATCGGCAAAATGTTTCCCTTTGAGGACTTTTTTCATCAGGGAAACAACAAAAAAAGTCACTTGGGGCGAGTTTGGGTGAATAGGGAGGGTGGGGCATGGGAGTCATGCCATGTTCAATCAAAAACTGCTGAACACTCAGTACAGTGTAAACACGCAGATGCACTAATAAATCACCCATCGTGAAATGGGCAAACACGTTGAAAGAATCTCCAAAAAATTTTCACAGAAGCCAAACTCAGTCTCTCACACCAGTGTTAGCTGGTCAATGGGTTCCTAGAATACTTACCTCGCGGGAGAAGCCTGTACTACAAGGGGCCCACCCTCCAAAAGATGATTCGGGTTTTTGGGGGGTCATCCCATGGATCCTGAATTCTTCCAGAACGGGGTAATCCAGTAAAATCCCACTCTCTTTGCAGGAGTAGACAAATCTTCCTGGCTTTAGCGTGCTTACTCTTGAGCACGTGCCGGTCATATGGAATGAAATATGACAAACCTAACATCGTCCTGATATTGGCCGACGACTTGGGAATTGGAGATTTGGGCTGTTACGGCAACGACACCCTAAGGTACAGCCTCACAGAGGATCACGGGTCCATCTGCTGTTCAGGCTTGGAAGGTTGACAAGTCATACTATTGTGTCTGCATGCATAGGCAAATTGATTTCGCTGGGCTTTTTAGAGTTATTTTTAAAATTTGTGCTCGTTTTTCATTTTATTTTATTTTTATTTCTTTTTAAAATGTGTTGTTGCTTATTTTATGCGTTTTATTTTTTGAGGCGGGGTCTGACTTTGTTGCCCAGGCTGGAGTGCAGCGGTGCAATCACAGCTCATCACAGCCTCAACCTCCTGGGCTCTGGCGATCTTCCCTCCTCAGCCTCCTGAGTAGCTGGGACTACTGGCACGCACCACGACTGGCTAATTGAATTTTTGTAGAGATGAGGTTTTTCTATGTTACCCAGGCTGATCTCAAATTCTTGGCCTCAAGTGATCCTCCTGCCTCAGTCTCCCAAAGTGCTGGGATTGCAGGGGTAAGCCATCACACCTGGTCTTTTGTAATTTTTTAACTGGACAAATAATAATTGTACATATTCATGGAACACACCATCATGTTTCAATACCTATAAAGTGTAGTGATCAGATCAGGGTAATTAGCACGTCCATCATTTCGAACATTAAAGAGGCTAGTAGGATTAAAAGCTTGACTGGATTTGAGCTTTGGGTCTGCATTGACTGGCTGTGAAGTCATGATGAAGTGGCTTACCCTCTCTGTGCCTTAATTATCTGATTTATACAGTACACAGAAAAGTAGTAAATACCACTGAGTTCATCTCTGCAAAGCACTTAGGATAGTACCTGGCACATCAATAACCCCGTATGATAGACTATTATAATGAATGGTGTATCTGTGTCATGTATGTATATATTTATATACAAATGATCTTGAGTTTATATATAAATTTATATAAAACTATAGATCTATTATACATTTATATAAAACTATATAAGGCTATAAAAATATATAAAGCTATAAAACTATTATAAATTTATATAACTTTTATATGAATTTATATAAAACTATAAAGTATATAAGACTATAAAAACTATAAAACTATAATTCATATAAAACTTATATATATTTATGGGTAAAATTACATATTTTCTATAAATATACATTTTATAAACTATATATAAAACATATTCATGAATATATAATATAATATATAAAATAATTATATATAATACTTGTCACATATATTATATCCATATAAAGTAAAAATAAATATATGCAAATAATTTATAAGTGTATATTTATATTTTTTATGGATATATATACACCTGCACTCACCAGAATTGATTATTCTATCTAATTTTGGAAGCCAACATATTCTTTAAGGTGATGTGCTTCTTTAACAATGAACATTCTGAAAAAAAGGAAAAACAAACAAGAAACAAACTTAGAGCTTTCTGGTGTGTTATAAAAGTCATCTTCATGAAGCATGAGTATGTTAAACTTAGGAGTACATCACTTTGAGACACTAAATTATACTCTGTGAAATCCCAAACACAGTGGTTCACATCTCTAATCCCAGCACTTTAGGAGGCCAAGCTGGGAGGATCATTTGAGCCCAGGAGTTTGAGATCATCCTGGGCAACATGGTGAGATCTTGTCTCTGAAAAAAGAAATTAGCAAGACATGGTGCTGTGTGCCTGTAGTCCCAGCTACTCAGGCACACACCCGGGATGCTAAGGCTGCAGTGAGCTGTGATCGTGCCACTGCACTTCAGCCTGAGCGACAGAGTGACACTCCTGCTCAACAAAAAAGTACAGCCCTCCTCCAAAAAAGAATGATGTTTTGACTCATGTATCCATTGTGGAATTGCCAAATCAAGCTGTTAAACGTATGTGTCACCTCATATACTTGTTATTTATCTACAATGAAAACACGTAAAATCGACTCCTAATGATTTTCAAGAGTAGACAATACATTATGAGGAGCCTTCATCCCCATGATGTGCAGTAGGTCTCTTAGGTGTGTTCCTCCTAAGAAAGACTTTGTATCCTTTGACCAGCATCTTCTCATTTCCGGTCTCCCTGGCCCCTGGTACCCAACCATCTAGCCTCTCCTTCTACGAGTTCGACTTTTTAGCTCTCACATATGAGTAAGAGCACGCATATTCGTCTTTCTGTACCTGGGTTATTCCACTTTGCATAATGTCCTCCAGGGTCATCTACGTTGCTGCAAATGACAAGATTTCCTTCTTTTTTAGATTTAATCATTTTGCAACCCGTGTCTACTACAGGGATATTTATGTGTCAGACAGGTGGGCTGACACCCATCCTTAGGTTGTAAGTAGTTAAGCATGTTAAGGACTGTAAGCAATGAATCAGGCGAGAGACTCTTAAATATTTTATTTTATTTTTTATTTTATGTATTTTTATTTTATGATATTTAATTTTATTTATTTATTTTATACATTCTATTTTATTTATTTTAAATTTATTTTAGCATTTTATTTTATGTGTTTTTATTTTATATTATATTTTATATATTTTTTATTTTATCATTTTATGTATTTTTATTTTACATTATATTTCATTTTGTTTTATATTTTATTTTATCTTATTTATTTTTTATATTATATCATATTATATTTATTTTATTCTACTTTGCAAGGGAGTAGTATACTCAATGGGCACAGCAAAGCAGTCCCTCATTATACAATCCATTCTATTTCACATTGATTCCGGCCAAAGAGGAGGATGGTTTCTGTGCGCAGCTACCTGTTCTGGGACCCTGGGAGTCACGATCGACAGAGACACTGTTTATGTTGAAATTCCTCTTCTCGTCTCTCTCTGTCTCTGTATCTCTCTATCTGTCTCTGTCTCTCTCCCTGTCTCTTTTTTCCTCTCTCTCTCTGTCTTACTACGCCTCTTTCTCTCTCTCTGTGTCTCTGTGTCTCTCTCTCTCAGTCTCTCTCTCCCTCTTTTCTCTCTGTCTCTGTCTCTGTCTCTGTCTCTGTCTCTCTCTCTCTCTCTCTCTCTCTCTCTCTCTCTCTCACTCTCTGTCTGTCTCTCCCTTCCTCCCCTTCCTCCCTCCCTCTCTGTCTCTCCCCCTCTCTGTTTTTCTCTCCATCCTTTCCCCTCCCCTCCCCTCTAATAACTCTTCCTTCTCTCTTCTCAGGACTCCTAACATTGATCGCTTGGCCCAGGAAGGTGCCCAGCTGACACAGCATATCTCAGCTGCCTCCTTGTGTAGCCCCAGCCGATCTGCCTTCCTGACTGGCAGGTACCCCATCCGGTCAGGTGTGTAAATGGGCTGACTCCACCACGCTCTGTGGTCACCTTAGGATGGGAGGAAAGAGAAATGTGGTTTGAATACTTTAAAAAGTAAACAAGAAAAGCAAGGCTAGGCGTGGTGGCTCACACCTGTCATTCCAACACTTTGGAAGGCTGAGGAGGGAGGATCACTTGAGGCCAGGAGTTTGAGACCAGTCTGGGCAACATAGTGAGACCCATCTCTGTGAAAAATTTTAAAAATTAGCCAGGTGTGGTGGTGCCTGTAGTCCCAGCTACTCAGGAGGCTGAGGCGGAAGGATCAATTGAGCCCAGGAGTTGGAGGCTTCCGTGAGCGATGACTGTACCGCTATGCTCCAGCCTGGGCAGCATAGCAAGACCCAGTCTCTACAAAAATAAAATAAAATAAAACAAAAAAGAAAAGTAAAGACCAGGCACACACACTCCAATATGTGACCCTTTAACAACATGTGACCTCTGTCACTAGGTGCCTGGTTACCAGCATCAAAGTGGACATCACCGTCCCCATAATCAATACAGAATCACCCCGTGTGCCTGAGTCATGTCTTTGTACATAGTATTGGTTTTTCTTTCTGCTTTCCTGGTGAATGAGCACAGTAGGTTTGACTTTCTACACCAGGACAACAAAGAAAATCTCTCTTGGAGGGAAATAATTGACTCCAGGTGTCTGAATGTGAGCCAGTAGTTACCTGAAAACGTCTCTCAGAATCTGAAAAACTTTTATCACCACACTGTAGCGGTGGAGACAATAGCATTATTCCCTTGTTCAATTTATTTCAGTTTTAAAGAAAACATCAATAGAAGCAGAAGAAGAAAATTATGCCCTAGGATCTCGTTGTTACGTTCTTGTTACATTTCTTTAACTATAGTAAAATTTATAGAACATAAAGTTATGAACCTTGAAAATATCACACTCAGTGACAATTGTGGTTTTGAAACCACTATTTATTTTGAAATGTGCAATTCAGGAATATTTAGCACATCCACAGTATTGTACAATCTCCATCTGGTTCCAGAATATTTTCGTCACCCTAAAAAAAGGAGACCTTGTCCCCATTAAGTAATCACTCTCTGTTTTTCCTTCTCCCAGCCCTTGGGCAATCACTAACCCACTTTCTGTGTCTGTGGATTTGTCTGTTTTAGATATTTTATTTTGTTATTTTTTGTCGAGATGAGGTCTTGCTATGTTGCTCAGGCTGGTCTCGAACTCCTGGGCCCAAGCCATCCTCCTGCCTTAGCCTCCCAAAGTGCTGGGATTGCAGGTGTGAACCACTACACCTGGCCAAGTGTGTCTGGTTCTTTTCTATTCTTATTTTGTAGAGACAGGGTCTTGCTATCTCACCTAGGCTGGAGTCCAGTGGCACAAACATAACTCACTGCAGCCTTGACTTCCTGGGTTCAACTAGTTCTCCTGCTCAGCCTCCTGAGTAGCCGGGACCACCACCACCATGCCTGACTAACTTTTTATATTTTTTTGTAGAGATGTGGTCTTGCTATGTTGCCTAGGCTAGTCTCTAACTCCTGGGCTTATGCCATCCTCCCGCCTTGGCCTCCCAAGCTGCCAGGATTATAGATGTGAGCCACCACACTCTGCTCTGTTGAACACTTTATATAAGTGGAATTCCACACCATGTGATATTTTATGGCTGACTTCTGTCACTGAGTGCGACAAATACAAAGTTCATCCACATAGCCTGTGTCAGAGCCTCACTCTTTTAATTGTTTGATACTACAATACACACGACATTGTTTATCTATTCACCAACTGATGAACAGCTGTGTTGTTTCTACCCATGAGCTATTATGCATAAAAGAGCTACACACATTATATGAACAAGTTTTTTCTTGAATACCACTTTTCAGTTGTTTTGGGTATATCCTCAGGAGTGGAATTGCTGGTTCATATGGGGTCCAACAATGAAGTTCACTAACTCATTCTAGAAAAAGTGCTACATACCATATTGTTGAATCTCACTACAGTCACCTTCAAAAGACCCTCCTTGGGAAGCTATGCACTGATGGCAGCACCTAGTCCACCCATCAAAGTGATTTTGGAACTCTTTCAGGAATGGCCATCAGAGCCGTCATCCTAATACCCTTGATGTCCTGAATGTCATCAAATGTCTTCCTTTCAATATTTTCTTTATCTTTGGGTAAAGAAAGGGGTCATTGGAGGCCAGATCAGGTGAGTAGGGAGGATATTCCAATACAGTTATCTGTTCAGTGCTGCCAACATAAGTACACAGTGGCAAGTTTGCGAACTTAATTGTCAGACCTCAGCAAATAATGATGATAGCTTTGATAGCCATTCCAGAAAAAGAGTTCCAAATTGCTTTGATGTGTGGACTAGGTGCTGCCATCTGTGCATAGCTTCCCTAGGGGAGTCCTTGCAAGGTGACCATAATGAGATTCAGGAATGAGGAATGTAGCACTTTTTCTAGGATGCTCTTGTGAAACTCATTGTTGGACCTCATATGTTTATGTTTTTTAAAGGTGAGAAAAGTGGTCTTGGCTTGTGGGCACAGACTTTGCAGTTTAAGAGTAAGGAGCTAAATTATCACAGAGATGGAGGAGCTAAATTGTCACAGAGATGGAGGTAGTTGACACTGGGGACACCAATAACATGAGAACACACACATTTCCCCATTTGCTTGGGTGGAACCTTCATGTTTCAGGAGAGTGTTGTAGTCAATTTGTGCCACTATAGCAAAACACTTGAGACCAAGCAGCTTACAAACAACAGACATTCATGTCTCATGGTTCTTGAGGCTGAAGTCCAAGGTCAAGAAGATTCTGTGTCTGGTGAGAACTCTTCCTGGTTTACAGATAGTGACCTTCTTGTTATGTCCTCACATGGTAGAGAGAGTGTGGTCTCTGGGGTCTCTTTCTCATCTTACAAGGATACTAATCCCATCATGGGGACACAACCCTCATGACCTCATCCCCACCCAAAACCCCAACTTACCAACATCATCCCCTTGGAGATGAAGATTCAACATAGGAAATTTGGAAGGACACAAACATTCAGTCAACACCTACCTTTCCCCATTTGCTGGGGTGGAAACTTCATGCTTCAGGAAGGTGTCTTAGTCCATTTGTGCGGCTGTAACAAAATACCCAAGACCAAGCAGCTTATAAACAACAGGCATTTATGTCTTGTAGCTCTGGAGGCTGAAGTCCAAGGTCAAGGCATGTAGATTCTGTGTCTGGTGAGGACTCACCTCCTGGTTTGCAAACAGCCAACAGTCACCTTCTCATTGTCCTCATGTGGTGGAGAGAGAGAGAGCTCTGGAGTCTCTTCTTTTTCATATAAGATTATGAATCCCATCATAGAAGCCCAACCCTCAAGACCTCATCACCTCCTAAAGGCCCTACTTTCTGACACCATCACCTTGGGAGTGAGGATTCAACATAGGAATTTGGGGAAGACAAACAGAGTGAGCTCTAGGGTCTCTTCCTCTTCTTATAAGGACACTAATCCCATCATGGGGACCCAACTCTCATGACCCTATCCACTACCAAAAGCTCCACCTCTTAATACCATTCATGCTTCATGGTTCTAGAAGCCAGAAGGTCCAAGGTCAAGGACTGTGGATTCCATATCTGGAAAGGACTCTTCCTGGTGTGCAGATGGCCACCTTCTTGCTGAGTCCTTACATGGCAGAGAGAGAGAGGGAGAGCTCCTGGGTCTCTTCCTTTCTGTATAACAAGGCAAACCCCATGTATGAGACTCCACCTTCATGACTTCATCCCCTCCCAAAGGCCCCACCTCCTGACACCATCTTCTCAGGGGTGAGAATTTCAACGTAGGAATTTTGGAGGAAGACAAACAGTAACACTATTCCTTCACTTGTTCAATTGTTCTTTACTTTTTTCTTTTTACACTACTTTCAGGCATGGTTTCTAATGGCAGTAAGCGTGTCATCAGATCACTTGGAGTCCCCTCAGGCCTCCCTCATAATGAAACTTCATTTGCAGCCTTACTAAAGGAGGAAGGATACAGCACAGGAATCATAGGTAAGACACAGTCATTGGTGTTCGTCATCAACCATAAGGTCATAATAGCCTTCATTCTATCCTTGACTTACTATTTTCTTGGAAACACTTTCCTTTGCAATGTTCATCATCTTTGCTAGATCAAACAACACTACAAAATCTGGACTCCACAAATATCTTTTTTTTTTTTAGATAGAGTGTCACTCTGTCATTCAGGTTAGAGTGCAGTGATATGATCACAGCTCACTGCAGCCTCAATCTCCTGCCTCCTGGGCTCAGGCAATCCTCCCACCTCAGCCTCTTGAGTAGCTGGGCCTACAGGTGCATGCCACCACACTCAACTAATTTATATTTTTGTAAAGACGAGGCCTCGCTATGTTGCCCAAGTTGGTCTCGAACTCCAATGTCAAGCAATCCTCCCACCTCAGCTTCCCAAAGTGCTGGCATTGCAGGCATAAATAAGTATATAAATAAATAACCATGCTCAGTCTTGAATAAGTATTTTTGCCAACACATGTTTTAATTTCTCCTAGGTAAATACCTAGGAAGTGAATTACAAGATTCTAAGTAGATATACTTTAACTTTTTAACAAACTGCTAAACATTTCTTCAAAGTGGTTGTATCCTTTTACACTTTAACCACCAATATATTGGAGTTCCAGTTACTCCACATCCTCATCAACACTTAATATTATCAAGTTTTTCTTTTAACCATTCTAGTAGGTGTGCAGTAATATCTCATTAAGATTTGTTATTCATTTTTACACATACATTTTATACCAGTTATCATGTTTCAAATAATCACTTTTTCCTCATGGTAAACTAGATTCTAACATCTAAGATTTTTATTATTTTTTCTCATATTGTTCAACCTAGGTATACTACCTATTCTTATTTCTAAATGACTTCTAGAAATATTTTTATTACTATTTCGGAGTCTTCTCAGTCTGTGTATTAAACTCATACAAATTCTACTACAGTATATTTTTCTTATAGGCAATTCGTTTGTACTTGTTGCTATTGTTGGTGTATATAATACACATATCCAAAGATTAAATTGAATTGTAGATTAGCTTCAAAGATTAGGTTGCAATTTTTCTAAGACAAAATGGTTGATGACAATTTAATATGGTTCAACCTAACAGATTTCAAGGTTTTGAAAATCTGGGGCCACATAATTTTCTTGCAAGATTTTGTCCTCAATGTCTCTCACTTGTAAGACAACTTGATTGATACTTGCTGGAAAATGACACGTGTTTTCAGTCATCATCGTTGCCTAAACTTGGGAATTGCATTCCAGAGGCCTCCAGGGACAATTATCCCGAGGCACAAGATTAGAAAACTACCTAGAAGATGAGTTCTTGATAATCATTCTTCTTGTGTTCAGAGGAACAAGGATTCCCCTCTCCCCTCTACCCTTGCTACTCATGGGTCAATTCAGAAAATAAAACCATACATCCCTTTCAGGTGATGATTATGGTCCTTGGTTAATTGCCCTAATTCAGTGAGTGGATTCTATACACTTACAGAATCATTGATATATACAGATCAAAGGGATGTCAGAGAGTAACCCATCTCTCTGATTTCACAGATGAGGAAATTGATCCTTCACAAGGCTGTGTGCTATATGAGTTTGTTTTATTTATTCTACTTGTCTGGATTTTTATTTTTTTATCTGTTTAATTATTTATTTATTTTTGAGACAAGGTCTTGCTCTGTTGCCTAGGCTAGAGTGCAGTGGTATGACCACAGTTTATGGCAGACACCACCTTCTGTGCTCAGGCAATCCTTCTGCCTCAGCCTCCTGAGTAGCTGAGACAACAGAGATGTGACCCCATATCGGCTATTTTCTGAAAATTTTTTTAGAGCTGAGCTCTCGCTATGTTGCCCAAGCTGGTCTCAAATGCCTGGGCTCAAGCAATCCCCCTGTCTCAGCCTCCCAAAGTGCTGGGATGACAGGCATGAGCCACCACGCCTGGCTAATTTTTAAAACTTTTTATAGAGATGGGGGTCTCCTATGTTGCCCAGGCTAGTCTCAAGCTCCTGAACTCAAGAGAGCCTCCCACCTCGGGCTCCATAAGTGCTGGGATGACAGGCGTGAGCCACCATGCCCAACCTGAGCTCGAATGTTTTAATCAAAGAAAAACACAAGCAACTTCATGTTTGTATGTGAGCTGATTGTTGAACAGTCTCATGTTCTTTGCGACATCCCTGCACATGAAAATGTCTTTGTGTATTTATTCTTAGGTAAATGGCATCAAGGCTTGAACTGCGAGTCCCGGAGCGACCACTGCCACCATCCGTACCATTATGGGTTTGATTACTTCTATGGCATGCCGTTTTCACTCTTTGAGCCCTGCTGGCCAGACCCTTCGCGGAACACTGAACTGGCCATTGATGGTTGGGTCTGGCTGTGCATCCAGTTGGTCACTGTCACTGCCGTCACCCTTACCATCGGGAAGCTGAGTGGCTGGATCACGGTTCCTTGGCCCCTCATCTTCGCCATGATCCTGTTTATTGTCCTCATGGCCTACGGTTGGTTCTCCAGTTTCCAGTCCCCTTTGTACTGGGATTGCCTCCTCATGCGAGGCCATGAGATCACGGAGCAGCCCATGAAGGCAGAGAGAGCTGGATCCATCATGGTGAAGGAGGCCATTTCATTTCTAGAAAGGTAAAGGTCCAGCTACTTGGAAGGCTGAGGTGGAAGGATTGCCTAAGCCCAGCAGGTCGAGGCTGTAGTGGCCGTGAGCATGCCACTGCACTCCAGCCTGGGTGACAGAGTGAGACTCTGACTCAAAAAAAAAAAAAAAGAAAAGAAAAGAAAGGTAAAGGTTATCATTGAAAAGACGTGGAATAATTGGCAGAATGATTCCTTTTTTAAAAAATCTCGGCCAGGAATAGGGGCTCACACCTGTAATCCCAGCACAGCACTTTGGAAGGCCAAGGTGGGAGGATCACTTGAAGTCAGGGGTTCAAGACCAGCCTGGACAATATGACTAGACCACTTCTCTACAAAAAAATTTTAAAAATTAGCCAGGTGTAGTGGTTCCAGCTACTCAAGAGGCTGAGACAGGAGCATTGCCTGAACCCAGGAAGTCAAGGCTGTGTTGAACCATGATTATGCCACTGCACTCCTGCCTGGGTGTCAGAGTGAGACCCCAACTTGAAAAAGAAAGAGAGAGAGAAAAGAAAGGAAGGAAAAAAGGAAGGAAAGAAAGAAAGAAAGAGAGAAAGAGAGAGAGAGAGAGAGAGAGAAGGAAGGAGAGAGAGAGAGAGAGAGAGAGAGAGAGAGAGAGAGAGAAAGGCAGCCAAGTGGACATAAGTCCAGAGTACCAGAGGTCCATACTGTGAAACTCTTCAAAGACAATCCACCCTTGAGCACTTAATATCTAACTAGAATCTTCAAAAATGAATCAGAACAAGTGAGAAAGAGAAATGCAAATACAAGGGGGGGGACAAAAAAAACCAAGAATTTATTTCTAGAATAATGTATATTTATTCTATGTGTTTAAACTTCAGCAACCTTCAAAGTCTCCGTTGGATGCAATATACCTATCGTGATGATTTTTCCACTGCTCAAAACAGTTTTTGAACTTGTCCATGTTGATGCCTTTTAGTACTTCTGCAGTTTTTTTGTTTCATCTCTTCCACATCAGAAAAACGCTTCCCTCTGAGGACTTTTTTCATTGGGGAAACAATTTAAAAAATGTTGCTCAGGGAGCGACTGGGTGAATAGATAGGTTGAGACACAGGGGTAATGCCATTTTTGGTCAAAAACTGCTGAACACTCAGTGCGTTGTGAACAGGTGTGCTTGTATATCACCCATCATGAAATGGGCAAATGCATTGAATAATCTCAACAAAAAAAAAAATTCACTGAAGCCAAATGCTGCGTCTCACAGGAGAAGACTGTACTACAAGGGGCCTGCCCGCCAAAAAATAATTCCAGGTTTTTGGAGTCCCTTTTGTATAAGGAAAGTAAGGTTCACGGGAAACTGTGAGCAATGTGGTCTTCTTGGCATTAAAAGAGCCAAGCCATGAATAGTCAGAGGAAAAGTTGATGTGTTGGACTGTAGTATAGAGTTGATTAAGGGTAGAGGTGTCTTGCATAACCAGATAAATAGCTTTGTCCTCACCCTGTTGCCCAAGGGAAGACAATAAAAAGATGTTATGTGGGAGTGATAGGACTTTTATTTTCTCTGTAGATGCAACTGAATGCCTGGTCTCATTTAGAGACCAAGGACCCTTTTCCTCCTTGGCATCTTTCCAAATATGCAAATTTCTAGGAAGTTTTACAAAGAAGGCATCTATCTACATGTTGAAAGTTAGCCATCAACCACTCTGAATGTTCAAGACATGCAACCCTGTTTCATACTGTCAGCCAGTCTTCAAGTCTTCAGACATCTCCACACATGGTTTCTTAAGACTTTCATTGGTACTTCAAGAACAAATGCTATTGTTAAGAGGGATGTTTTCCAGAAAAACCTCTGTCGAGTTTCAAAACTTTAATATGATCCAAAATAACACAATATTGAGCAATGTACAACGAGCATTCCTTGGCTTGTAGCTTTTTTTTAACTAGACAGGGGTCTTGCTATGTTACCCAGGCTGGGCTTGAATTCCTGGTCGCAAGTGATCCTCCTTTCTTGGCCTCCCAAAGCACTGGAATCACAGGTGTGAGCCATTATTCCTGGCTGACTTGTAGCTTTTCTTTTCTTTTTTTCACTCAGACCCTCCTGCCTTTCTCTTGTAAGACTCTTTTGACTACATTGGATCTACCCATATAATCCAGGATAATCTCCTTATCTCCTGAGTCTTAATTTAATTCAATTTGTAAAGATATTTTACCATGTAAGTTCGCATGTTCACAGATTTTGGGGATTAGGATGCGGACATCTTGGGAATGGGGCATTATTCAGCTGACCACATTGACCATCACTCTTTATTTTTGCAGCTTACTTTATTTTAGAGTGCTACATGATTTTAAATCTTTAAAGTTCAGAACTGAAGTTCCTTCCAAAGGCTCCAGGGGAGGATCTGTCCCACCTCTTCCAGCTCCTGGTGGCTCCAGGCATCCCTGGGCTTCTGGCCACGTCACTCCAGGCTCTGCCTCCGTCTCCACATGACTGTGTTTCCTCTTCTGTCTCCTGTGAGGACATTGGTCACTGGATGTAGGGCCACCTCATCCAGGATGGTTTCGTCTCAACTAATTACATCTAAAGACTTCATTTCTAAATAAGGTTTCATTCTGAGGTTTTCAGTGAACATGAATTTTGTGGGAACACTGTTCAACCTGGTACACCATGACCCAACCCTTTTGTTGTGGTGGTGGTGGTTTTTTAATTCATCTTTTCCATTCTTTATACTTTGATGTCTCATTGGAGCAGAAATTTCCCAAAGAGTGGCCTGTGAGCCGTGAGCTGCCCTGGTAGCTGAGGGCTTATCTTTCACACAGATGGATTGTCAGAATTAAAAACGAGTCAGCCCCGTTCCCACATCCTAATGTGAGGACGAGGTGGATAACTTGTCAAGGTGTTTCTGTTTCTGCTTGCTCATGATTTGTAAAAGCATAGAGATTGCTCAAAAACAACTTCTAGGTCACTGTCCCTCGATGTCTGTCAGGGTGTGACACTGGCTTGAGACTTTCGGAGCTGTGAGAACGTGCAGAGCTGCATTGGATTGTTTGCCTGCTTATGGTGAGGAGGTCTACACTGGCTTACAATATCATCCCAAATGTGTCTTAGTGTCTGAGACTCAAAGGAACACTGGTGACATCTTCCCTGAAGAAATGGAACAATTAGGATGCTAGAGGATCTTAGAATCCACTCCAGGAAGGATGGTCTCTTGCGTGTACCCCCTCTGTCTGTGGGGGACTATAGAGAGGAGGGAAGAAATGATGTCTATAAGAGAGGACCCCAAAAAATCTGAAATAGCCTTTTGGAGGGTGGGCCCCTTATAGTACAGGTTTCCCCCACTAGGTAAATGTTCTAGAAACCCATCAACATCCATGTGCCAGCTAGTGTTTGGGGGAGAGGCTGCGTTCGGCTTCAGTGAATTATTTTTTGGAGATCCTTTCAACATTTTTGCCCATTTCATGATAGGTGATTGATGAGCACACCTGCCCACGCCACACTGAGTGTGCAGCAGTTTTTCACCAAAAACAGCATGATCTCCATGCCCCACCTTCCCCATTCACCCAATCTCACCTAAGCAGCTTTTTATTGTGTCCCTAGATGAAAAATTTCTCCAAGGGAAACATTTTGCCAATGAAACAGAAAACAAGCAGAAGAATTAAAAGGCATACAAATTGATAGGTTCAAAACTGTTTTGAGCGGTAGAAAAAGCATCTCGATAGGTATATTGCATCCAAAAGAGAGTACTTGAAGGTGACTGAAACTTAAACATGCAGGAATAATTGAACAATTTTTAATAAATAAATTCCAAGTTTCTTTGGGTGGTCCTGCTTCATATATGAGAGCTAGAAGCCAAAGACTGGTGTTAATTCACTTTTGTAGATTTTTTTTTTAACTCAAGAGTAATGTCACTGATGTCTTCTCAGGTACCATGAAGGACCTTTTCTGCTCTTTTTCTCTTTTCTTCACGTGCACACGCCACTCCCCACCACGGATGCATTCGTAGGGACCAGCAAGCATGGTCTATACGGAGACAACGTTCAAGAGATGGACTCCATTGTGGGTAAGTCGTAAGGCCTGAGGAGATGGAAACCAATGTGGGGCTTTATTTATTTATTTATTTATTTATTTATTTATTTATTTATTTATCAATGGCTTTAGGGGTACAAATAGTTTTTGGCTCCACAGCTACTTTATAGAGTGGTGAAGAAGTCTGACCTTTAAGTGCACCTGCCACCTCCACCTGTGCACACTGTCACTGACAGGTGATTTTTCAGCTCTCCCCCTTCCCCTTCCCCTTCTGAGTCTCCAGCATCCATCACACCATCTCTTGGCCTTTGCAGGCCCTGAGCTCAGTTCCCAATTATAAGTGACAATACGCAGAGTTTGGTTTTCTGTTTTTGTGTTAGTTCACTTGCAGGGATGGTCACCAAATCCATCTAAGTTGCTGCAAAATACATGATTTCATTCTTTTTATGACTGTATAGCATTCCATGGTGCATGTGTGTGTGTGTTTGGGTACATGAATAGATATATAGATATAGATAGATAATAGATAGATAGATGGTAGATGAAAGATAGATGATAGGTGATAGATAAGTAGATAGATGATTGAATAGATAGATAAATGATAGGCTAGATAGATAGATGATAAATAGGTAGATAGATAGAATAGGTGGGCTAGATAGATAGATAGATAGATACATGACAGATAGGATAGATAGATGATGATGATAATAGATAAATAGATAGATAGATGATAGATAGGATAGATAGATGAAAGATGGATTTAGCATTTTCTTTATCCACTGATGATTTGATGGGCATTTAGATTGATTCCACATCATTGCAATTGTGAATTGTGCTGTGATGAACACATGAGTGCACATATCTTTTTTTATACGAACCTCTGTTTCTTTGGATGGACACCAAGTTGTGAAATCAGGGAAATGCAAATTAAAACCACAATGAAATGTTTCCTTAGCCCAGTTGGGATTGCCACTATTACAAAAATTTTGAAAAGATTTAGATGTTGGTGTGAATACGGTGAAAAGAGAATGCTCACACAATGTTGATGGGAGTATATATTCGTACAACTTCTCTGGAAATCGGTATGGAGATTTCTCAAAGAACCAGAAGTTTATCTACCATCTGATCCAACAATTAGTGTGTTTTGAGAGTGCACAGCACCCAGAAGTTACCCTTGGCCAACTGTAGAGTGAAGTAATGATGTCCATATGGCAAGGTTGGCCAGAGACATGAACGAGGTAACAGGTGCAAGTGATTGAGAAAGCTGGCACAAGACCCGTGTTCATTTCTTGTGCTTTCTTTGCACACTGCCTGCCTCTCAACTGGGGTTTCTGTCTACGTAGTTGGGTCTCCAGTTCTGGCCAGAGCACACACTAGATCTAGAAAGTCTTTAGTCAAAACAGCAAACCTTTATGTCAGTTCTGTTGTGTGCCAGGACCTGAGTTTGTGGTCCGGGATTCAGAGAAGAGTCAGAGCCCAGAGCCCTGGTGAAATTGTACTGTAGAGAGACAGGACCATGCTGAGGTCAATTCCCAGGATTTACATGGTAAATACATCAATTCGCAAAACAGATTCCATTTCCCAACATTACTGAAAGAGAGCATGCATAAGACTCCCAAATGAGCAGAACACAAACTTACCATGTTTCCCAGATACAGATGTTGTCATGAAGTATATGCCACTAAACAAGGAGACATCTTGGAAATTAAATCTGACGAAAACAAAGTCAATAAAACATTTTCAATGTACGTAGTCTTAACCAAATAAAACTTTTTTTGAAACTTAAAAATATAAAATGTGAATCAAATATATTCACATATATAGATGTTTATGTGGGTATAAGTGTGTATGTGTGCTTCTGTTGTGTTTGTGTACACATATATAGAAACAGAGAGATGACGGATAAACAGATGATAGATGATGGATAAATAGAAGACAAATAAACAGATAGATGATGGATAGATAAACAATATAGAAAGATAATGAATAGATAGATGATAGATAGATTGCATATAAACAGATGATAGATGACAGATGGTAGATGGATAAATGATGGATAGATGATACATGATATAGATAGATAATAGATAGACAATGAATAGATAGATGGTAGATGATGGATGACAGATAAATAGGTGATAGATGATAGATGATGGACACGTAGATAAGAAAGGATAGATGATAGATAAGAGACAGATCATAGATAAATAGATGAGAAATAGAAGATAGGTGATGAATAAATAGAAGACAGATAGATAATGAATGGATAGGTGATAGATAATGAATAGATAGATGATAGATTATAGATGATGGATAAATAAAAGACAGACAGATGCATAGATAGATAATATAAGTAGATAATGAATACATAGATAAATGATGGATAGATAGATGCTATATTATGGATGACTAGAAGACAGATGGATGTTGGATAGATAATAAAGAGGGAGAAGGATAGATAGCTTAAATAGATACATAGGTAGACAGATAATGAATACATAGATGGAGAGATAGATGATGGATTGATGGATAGATAGACAGATAGATAGATAATGAATAGATAGATCAAGAGAGATGAGCCGGGCTCGGTGGCTCAGCCTGTAATCCCGCGCCTTTGGGAGGCTGAGGTGAGTGGATTGCATGAGCCCGCGGGTTCGAGACCCGCCTGGGCAGCGAGATCTCATCTCTACAGTAAATCAAACAATCAGCCGGGCGTGGTAGCGCGCGCCGGTAATTCCGGCTACTCGGAAGGCTGAGGCGGAAGGAGCCCAGCAGGGCGAGGCTGCGGTGGCCGGGAGCGGCCACTGTACTCCAGTCTGGGTGACAGAATGAGACTCCAACTCAAAAAAAAAAAAAAGAGAGAGAGAGATGGATAGATAGATAATGAATAGAGATAGATAAATGATGGATGGATAGATGATAGATAATGAATAGAGAAATAGATATGCTAGTTTGATGAATAGATGATAAATAGGATAGATGATGGATGATAAATAATGAATAGAGATAGAAATGATAGATAGATAGATGAGTAGATAGCCACAAACATTTTTAAACTTGGTACTTCCTATGGGCCACGCACTTTTCCAAGTGTGTTCCAAACATATCCTATTAACATCCTAATAGATGGGTATGCTATAGTTTGAATATGTGTTCCCTCAGATTTCTTGTTGAAATTTTATCCGCTGCTGGGTGAGGTGGCTCACTCCTGTAATCCCTGCACCTTGGGAGGCTGAGGTGGGAGGACTACTTGAGCCCAGGAGTTCAAGACCAGTCTGGGAAACATAGCAAGATCTCATCTTTACACACAAAAGTAAAAAACTTCGCCAGACGTGGTGGCATGCTTCTGTAGTTCCAGCTACTCAGGAGACTGAGGCGGGAGGATCACCTGAGCCCAGGAGGTCAAGGCCGTGGTGAACCGTGATCGTGCCTGTGACATGCTGACTCCCTTTCCCCTTCTCTTCTGTCATGGGTAGAATCTTTCAGAGTCCTCACCAGAAGCAGACGCCGATGCCATGCTTCTTGGATACCCTGCAGACCCATGAGCCAAGTCCACCTCTTCTTTATAAGTCACTCAGCCTCGGGCAAATACCATTCTCTTCATCATCATCGTTACCCCCATTAGCAGATGACGAAACAAAAACACACAGCATTTGGTGACCAGCTTGGGCTTACAAAACAGAGGTTAGTGAGGTCATTTGGAACTCCAAAGCTCTTGGTCTCTAATGCAGCTGTCTCTTTGTGCAAAGCTAAGCGCTTATGGTGAACGATGAGGAAAGAGAGAGAGAGAAGCCTCCCAACCCCTCCCTCCCAGATTCCTACATGCTGTCATTTCGCAAGTAATGACAGGAAAACTCCGGCAACTTTCCCTTGACCCGACATCCTTCTTCCTCAACACCCTGAGAGGCTTCCAATGCAAGCAACGCCCTTACCCTACCCGAGGGGAAGACCTCAGATACACTATGAGTCATGCATCTCTAAGTGGAAAGGGATTCAGTGCCTCAGCTTGACTCTGAAGAGTAGGTTTCTCAAGAAAGGAGATAAGAGGGTGAGTCGTCCAGCAAGGAGGAGACAGATGCTGTCAATGAGAGATGAGACCAGGTTGAGGCTCTTGACCTCACCTGTGGGGCAGGTGGTTATGATGGGTGGAGTCCCAGGGCACGGTGACTAAGAGAAGGATGGCTTGTGGCATCACTGGATGGGGCAGGACCACAAAGGAGAGTGAAAATATGTCTAAGTATCGTGTGTGTGTGTGTGTGTGTGTGTGTGTGTGTGTGTGTGTGTGTAACACCTCTATATAACAGCTCAATGTATTTACATATATACACATAATAATTTTTGTTTGAGTCAAAGTCTTGCTCTGTGGCTCACCACAGCCTCAAACTCCTGGGCTCAGGTCATCCTCCCTCCTCAACCTCCCAAGTAGTTGGGACTACAGGCTTGAGCCACCACACCTAGCCAATAATTGTTATATGACATATAAAATATATTTTTTCACATTATGGAATGGGACAAAAAAAATTATATATACTATAACTCATGTTATATTATATGCATTTTGTATGTTATTTATATTATATACATTTAATATATGCCTTAGGAAGAATTTTGGTTACATATATAAGAAATATATATCATAGATCATTATAATACACACTTCCTATATATATTTATATCAATTGATGCTAGAAAGGTGTTAATCATCTCCATGACCAATACTTAATTAATTTTTAACCTCTTTAGATATACAGATAGAAATAGAATGATAGAATGATGTCAAGAAGAGAAACAACTCAAACTAATTTGATATTATTTGTAAGGAACAGGATTATCTATGTTGAAAACTCTAGAGAATCTAATAAAACAAATTTTTGTGTCCATTAATAATATACTGTGTATTATCTTATAATGTATATTATATTATCATATATAATGTATCTCATATTATATGTACTCATGTATAATAATATAATGTACATTATACTATAACTATACTTTTCATTATAGATATATTACTCATACATATTAACATATTAGTATATTTATATATCATAAATATAATATTAGTAGATTATAGTATAGTATTAGTACATTATAATTATATTTATATCACTTCTTTAACTTTAGGCTAAAATCAAGGGTATAATTATATTTATATAAAGATAAAGTATATATTATAATATGAATATATTATAAAAATTCAATTAATATACAATCATATACTTTTATTTATTTTGTTAGCTAGTCTATATTATATGTGGTATCATAACTATAGTATGAATATTATACATATACACATATAGATTAGTGCTGTGGTTGTTTTATTAAACTTTCTAAAGTATTCAACATAAACAATTATGTCCACTACATTTTTTTTTTAGTTGGAGTCTCACTTTGTCACCCAGGCTGGAGTGCAGTGGCACGCTCATGGCCACCACAGCCATGACCTACTGGGCTCAGTTGATCCTTCCACCTTAACTTTCCAAGTAGCTGAAACTACAGGCACATGCTACTACACCCAGCTAATTTTTTTATTTATTGTAGAGATGTGGTCTCGCCAAGCTGCCCAGGCTTGTCTCAAACCTGTGGGCTCAGGCAATCCTCTCACCTTGGCCTCCCAAAGTGTTGAGATTATAGATGTGAGCCACTGTGCCCGATCTTGTCCACTACATTTAATATCAAGTGTGTATCATGTTGATAAAGTAGGTATTTAAGTTTTATGCTAATTACATTAGTCAGGTTAGCTAAAAAAGTAAATTCAATAATAATGACAAAAATATTCTTAGTTTACAGCTAGTGTTACAAAATAGTTTCAGTTTTTACCTTGAGCATGATGCTGTCTGATACTTCACCTTATTTCTATTCTTAACATTTTGAGAGACTTTTAAAATATATATTAATTAGGTATACCCCAGAAAGCGCTTGTGTACTTTCTAGTATTACCTAAATATATACATTTATATGTGCATAATATAGCATACATTTTTTCCTATGGTATATATTAATATATATATTAGTATAATCGTGTAATTAGTTTAATATACATATATTCTACAGTGTTTCTGTTAGGTGTAGTCACAAAAATTAGGACTTTGTTATGTTAAAAATAACCTATTGCAAGATACGCTGAGCCATGCATACTATTTATAATAGCTCCAATTCCAGCAACTAAATATTTAGACATTTTTTTTTTTTGAGTTGGAGTCTCACTCTGTCGCCCAGACTGGAGTGCAGTGGCTGCTCCCAGCCACCGTAGCCTCGCCTCCTGGGCTCTGGCGATCCTTCCGCCTCAGCCTTCCAAGTAGCTGGAATTACAGGCATGCGCTACCACGCCCGGCTGATTTTTTGATTTATTGTAGAGATGAGGTCTCACTGCCCAGGCGGGTCTCGAACCTGCGGGCTCAGGCAATCCACTCACCTCAGCCTCCCAAAGGCGCGGGATTACAGGCTGAGCCACCGAGCCCGGCTTTAGAAATATTTTTTCAAGTAAATAATTGTCTTAAAAACAGCTGACTTCAGAAAGAAAAATTGAATAAATGGATGAGAAAAGAATTTTACACAAGTATTAGTTATTCCAAAATTAATACAGAATCAAGGAAGAACCTTCCCTAGAGAGAGAGGAGAGACAGAAACAGAGAGAGACAGAGGCAGAGAGAGACATAGACAGAGAGAGATAAAAAGAGAGATAGACAGAGAGAGAGGGAGAGAATGTGATCCTGCCAACACCTTAATTTGATTTTGGAATATGGTTTCCAGAATTGTGGCACAATAAACTTCTCTTGTTTTAATCCTTCTAGTTTCCACTAATTAGTTTCTCTAACCCTAAGAGATTTATAAAGTCAGTTTAGGAAAAACTATTGTCAATTCAATTAACATACTTTTCCATGTACATTATGGACATTGAGTAAAACAAAATAAAAACCAGAGGAGACGATAGATAGTAAATTCAACTCTGGATGAGTTATAGAATTAGTAATATCAAAATTATACATGATAAATGCATAAATAAAGGCCCTTTTCAAATTGAAGAACTACTAGCAACAATATGACATTGTTTTAATCGCTTAATAAATAAAGATTTCTTATTGATGGATACTGGGAATACATGTCTGCCCAAAAAAATCATCAAAAGCTAGACATTATTCACAGACTAAAAGCACAAATATCAAGGTAGACACACCAGTAATCAAAATCACCAGTAATTTAACGCAATCAAAATCACCAGTAATTTAACATAATCACCTGTCAAACATGAGATGCTGATGAAAAAATGGGCATTCTCACATACAACTGCTAGAAGATGGCACATCTTAGATGGGAGATATCCTGTAGTTAATTTTCCTAAGAAAATGTGCAGTTGTTAGAACTATTTTGAATGCCAAAAGTTGTTCAGTATAGAATTTTTAATTATGACAAAGTGTAAAAATTATCCAAAATGGTAACAAGCAGTGCAACAGTTAAACAATTTATGGAACTCTTTTTGTGTGTGTGAAATACAGTGGATATTTTTCCAGTTACTAAATCAAGTTCTCAGACAATTTTTTAAACCTTGTAAATTTTTAAAGAAATAATATTGGATAAAAAAAGCAGATTGGAAACTGTGCATACAGTATAATCCCAAGCATAGAGAGAAAGGCCCATCTCCAAGGTATGGGACAATTTCTTAAACAGTCAGATGGCAATGAAAACAGGAAATCAGTGGTTTTTATTTTTCTCTTTATCATTTTCTTTATTTTCTGTAACTCCTAAATTATTTTGTATCATTATTGGAATCAGAGAAAGATGACTCTTGTTGAGTTTGTTATATGCAAAAGTTTCATATTTACTGAAAAGTAGCAAGAAGACCTTCACTCAGCTTTCTCAACTGCTAACAATTTATCAAATATAGCTTCTCTTTCTTTCTTCCTTTCTTTCACTAGTTCCATTTCTTCCTTCCTTTTTTTCTCTTTCTTCAGCCTCTACATACTCTTGTGTGTGTGTGTGTGTGTGTGTGTGTGTGTGTGTGTGTGTGTGTGTGTGTGTTGCCCAGACTGGAGTGCAATGGCACAATCACTGATCACTGTAGCCTCGACCTCCTGGACTCAGGGGATCCTCCTGCCTCAGCTTCCCAAGTAGCTAGAACTACAGGTGCATGCCATCATGCTCAGTTATTTTTTTTTATTTTTGTAGAGATAAAGTTTTGTTGTGTAGCCCAGGCTGGTCTCAAACTCCTGGGCTCAAGAGATCCTCTCGCCTCAGCTTGGACTACAAGTATGAACCACCATGCCTGGTTGATTTTTTGATTTTATAGAGACAAGTTTTCACTGTGTAGCCCAGGCTAGTCTCAAGCTGGAATTTATAGGCATGAGCTACCACTTCTGGTGCCACATAAATTCTTACTCTTTTTTCTTCCTCCTGAATATTTGAGAATAAGATGCAACTGTGGGGGTCATTAAATTTAAAAACCTTAGTGTACATTTTCTAAACAAAGACATTCTCAGACATTATCACCAGGAATCATCAAAATCAGAAAATTAACAAAGATGAATTCTTGTTATTTTATCTACAAGCCCCAGTCAAAATAATTTACTTTTTTTTTTTTTTTTTAGTTGGAGTCTCACTCTGTCTCCCAGACTGGAGTGCAGTGGCCACTCCCGGCCATCGCAGCCTCGACCTGCCGGCATTTATTATAAATGCCAGATGAGAATAGAAGGGAAAATTATTAGGTAAAGAATTACGATGTGATGGGGAGAGACAGAGAAGAGAGAGGCAAAAGAGAGGAGAAAGAGACAGAGAGAGATAGGAGAGAGAGACAGAGAGGAGAGAGAAACAGAGAGACAGGCAGAGAGAGAAAAGAGAGACAGAGACAGAGAGAGAGAAGGGAAACAGAGAGGGGGAGACAAAGAGAGGAAAGAGACAGAGGAGAAAGAGAGGCAGAGAGAGAGAGGAGAAAGAGAGATCAAGAGAGGAGAGAGAGACAGAGAGAGAAGAGAAAGAGAGACAGAGATGGAGAGAGACAGAGAGAGAGGGAGATAGAAGAGAGACAGAGAAGGAAAGAGACAGAGAGAGAGAGAGAATTAGTTACCTAAATCACCTGCAAGATCAAGAACATGTTAAATAGATTATGTGAACAACACTTGGAGTCTGTTTATCCTGCCTCTGTCCCCACAAACTCTGCAACAATGGTCTGCTTCTGTGAGCAGAGAGATCACATAAACTGACTATTTTTTCATGAAAAATCACAGTCAAAATACAACCACATCCCTTTCTTTTCTATCTGAAGGAAAAAACTGGATTTGCCTCTTTAATCTTTTTCTTTTATTCTGGAAGAAGTAAATGATAAAAGAGAATTTACATTTTAAGTGACATTAGTGCAGTTGATATTCATTTGAATTGTCATAAAAATTTTTCTTAAAGGAGGTCATCAGATATATATTATATATAAAAACTTTTTTTTATTTTGGACTCTAATTTATCTCTCTTTCTATGATTTGGTAATTTAAACCACTAAGGCAGAACTCTTTTCTTCTGAAGCTTTTTTTAGAGACATTGCCTCACTCTGTAGTCCAGGCTGGAGTGCAGTGGCACAATCATAGCTTCCTGCAGCCCAGCCTCAAACTCCTGGGCTCAAGTGATCCTCCTGCCTTAGCCTCCAAGGGAGCTGGGACTGCATGCATGCAACACCACACCCAGCTAATTTATTTTAGTTCTTGTTTAGTTTTTGTAAAGACAAGGTCCTGCTCTGTTTCCCAGGCTAGTCTTGAACTCTCAGCCTCAAGCAGTCCTCCCGCCTCTGTCTCCCAAAGTGCTAGGATGACAGGCATGAGCCACAGTACCCAAACTCCTCTGTAGCTTATGAAACAGTAAGGGTCACACCATCCTTGCTTTCCTATGGAAATCTACTCAGTCAACCTATGTGTCTAATATTTCATAATGTCATTATTTTTACCTGTCCCCCTCCTTTTTATTATTCAAGGCAAGATTCTTGGTGCCATCGATGATTTCGGTCTAAAAAACAGCACTCTTGTCTACTTTGCATCAGACCATGGAGGGCATTTGGAGGCTAGATGGGGTCATGCTCAACTTGGTGGATGGAATGGGATATACAAAGGTAAGACGACATCTGGTGATCTGGTCATCTGGTGATGAATAAGCTCTTTTCTACAGTCATTAAAATTGGAGTCCATGACATGAAGAAATGCTACGTGAAAAACTGAAAAAGTCTGTTAAATTTGACTCTTATTAAAATGAATTTCAGGGCCAATATCAAGGATGTTGACCATATTTTTATTATTTGTATAAGTTTTAGTTTCAAGAGGGGCCACGTGCAGGTTTGTTGTATGTTGGTGAGGTTTGGGCTTCTACTGAGTCCATCACCCAAATGGCAGGCAGGGATGGAAATTGATCTTAAATCTGCCAAAATTTCTGTGAAAACTAGCCATGAGAACAGGTGCTATGCTGAAGAAGCAACCAGAAATCTGCTGCCCTGACAATTTAGAAGATTATGAGGTATTAGCACAAAGGGATATCTTTAAGGGATCTTTTAAAAAAATATTGAATATCAGGCCAGGAGCATTGACTCATGCCTGTCATCCAAGCACTTTGGTAGACTGAAGCGGGAGGATCACTTGAGGCCAGGAGTTTGAGACCAGCCTGGATAACATAACAAGACCTTGTCTCTACAAAAAATAAAATTTTTAAATAGCCAGGTGTAGTAGTGTGCGCCTGTATTCCCAGATATTCAGGAGGCTAAGGCAGGAGGATCACCTGAGCCCAACAGGTTGAGGGTGCGATGAGCCATCATCATGCCACTGTGCTCCAGCCTGGGTGACAGAGTAAGAGCCTCTACTCAAAAACAAACAAACAAAAAGGAGCTGAATATCTACTCATTAATTGCATTTCTGAGACTATTGAGAGAAGGTCAAATGAGAAGGAATATGGTAACTAGGGAACAAAGATCAGAAACCAGAGATTCCTTGTCATTAGGGAGTCTTTATTCTCTTCCAAAGATATGGCATAGTGCATAAGTAGCCAAGCCTTCCTCTGATTATACAAATAAACTCACACTGATTTATGTCATGATGCAACATTTAGTCCATGATAACGTGACCATTAGCTACCACATTGGCCTTGTCTATAACATGTATCTTGCTGTTATAAGAATGTTACCTGAGCCGGGCTCAGTGGCTCAGCCTGTAATCCCGCGCCTTTGGGAGGCTGAGCTGAGTGGATTGCCTGAGCCCACGGGTTCGAGACCCACCTGGGCAGCAAGACCTCATCTCTACAATAAATCAAAAAATCAGCCGGGCATGGTAGCACGCACCTGTAATTCCGGCTACTTGGAAGGCTGAGGCGGAAGGATCGCCAGAGCCCAGTAGGTCGAGGCTGCGGTGGCCAGAGCAGCCACTGCACTCCAGTCTGGGTGACAGAGTGAGACTCCAACTCAAAAAAAAAAAGAATGTTACCTGGGCCAGGTGCGGTGACTCACGTCTGTAACCTCAGCATTTTTGCAAGGCCAAGGCAGGAGGATCACTTGAGGCCAGGAGTTCAAGACCAGTCCAGGGAGCATAGCAAGACCATATCTCTACAAAAATCAGAAAATTTAGCCAGGCGTGGTGGCACAGGCCTATAGTCCCAGCTACTTGGGAGGCTGAGGCAAGAGGTTTGCCTGAGCCCAGGAGATCGAAGCTGTGGTGAGCCTTTATTTTGTCACTTTATTGTGTCGGCCTGGGCCACACAGTGAGACCTCAACTCAAAAAAAAGGAAGAGAGAGAGACAGAAAGGAAGGAAGGAAGGAAAGGAGGGATGGAGGGAGGGAGGGAGAGAGAGTAACTAATCTGGAAAATGTTAAGTACATTTTATCATCTGTCTTGAGAGATATTTTTAAGTGTTTTCAAGAGTACAATCCATTGCTATTCATGCAAATACACAGTGTACAATCTTGTATTTTGTAGAAAATTATAATTTTTGTATGAATGAGATGAGGTCCTCACCTCAGTTTGGCAGAGGGTGTGAATGTTTCATCTTTAAGGTCCACAAATTAAAGCATGTGCTTAGAAGACAAAACAAGCCCATAATGGAAATTATTATTAGAGACATTATATTTTTGCCTACAAAAACTTTTTTAAGTCTCAAAAAATTGCAAAAAAAATTTTTTTTAAGGCTGAGTGCAGTAGTTCATGGCTATAATCCCAGTAACTTTTGGAGACTGAGGTAAGAGGATCGCTTGAGGCCAGGAGGCTGAGACTAGCCTGAGCAACATAGTGAGATCTCTTTTATACAAAAAAATTAAAAGTTAGCCAGGTGTGGTGGCATGTGTCTGCTATAGGGGAGGCTGAGGCAGGAGGATCATCTGAGCCCAGGAGGTTGAGGCTACAGTGAACTGTAATTGTGCCACTGACCTCCAGCCTGGGCAACAGAGTGAGACTCCAACTCAAAAAAAATGCAAGGAAAAAATATCTCCATTTTTCAACAGGCTGTAAGTTAAATCCTGCTTTGAGTAATTTAATAAATGAGTAAAATTCATTAGCATGGTAGGATGGTCCTTCCTCCTAATTTTCCCATGGAAATCCTGGTTTGATGCCTATTCTTCTTGTATAATTAATATTCCTTCCTGCTTTCATTCTCAATAATACCCTGATTTGGACAAAAAGTTAGCTATTTTGTTTTCAGGGTGATGGAATTAGTTTTGAACAAAACAGGCAGAAATTATTGCTTTCATGGAGGCTGCAATCTGCTGGAGGGAGGGGCTGCAGAAGTAAAAATAAAATAAATTATAGGATACATTAAAAGAGAGTGGTAAATACAGACAAAAAAGAATAGAAATGAGGATGGAACATTTGGGAATGTTTTATTTCAAATAAAATACCACTCTGAGCATGCCCAGTGTCTTCTGTTCTCAAAATATGCAGGCAAGCCTCATTGAGAAGATTGTTTTGAACAAAGTATACAGAATGTTGAAATTCAAGCAGGTGTATATTTAAGATAGAAGTAATCTAGGTGGAGTGAATAGCCATGTGAATAGAATGCAAAAACCTTATATTAAATATGATTAGTGGTTCCATCAGAAACCCATCTGCAACATATGAAAATATGACTCCATGGATGTGCACTACTGACCCTATCAGGACCCTGCAAGTGGTCAACACTGAGCAAATATTGTCTCCTCTAGATATTAATTTACATTGTGTGACGGGGACCCAAAAAATCCTGAAATTTATTTATAAAAGATTGTATATTCATTCTGACATGTTTAGACTTCAGTCACCTTCAAAGTACTCTCTGTTTGATGCAATACACCTATCAAGATGCTTTTTCCATTGCTCAGAATAGTTTTTGAGCTCGTCCATGTTGACGTCTTTTAGTGCTTTTGCTGTTTTTTGTTTCACCTCTTCTATATTGGCAAAACATTTCCCTCTGAGGACATTTTTCATCCAGAGAAACAAAAAAAAAATTCACTTGGGGTGAGATCAGGTGAATAGGAAGGGTGGAGCACGGGAGTCATGTTGTTTTGGTCCAAAACCTGCTGAACACTCAGTGTGGTGTAGACCGGTATGCTCGTCAATCACCCATCATGAAATGGGCAAAAGCCTTGAAAGAGTCTCCAAAAAATAATTCACTGAAGCCAAACGCAACCTCTCACAACAATGCTAGTTGGTACATGGTTACTGATGGGTTCCTAGTACACTTACCTAGCAGAGAAGCCTGTACTACAAAAGGTTCACCCTCCAATAGATAATTTCAGTTTTGGGGGGGTTCCCCTTTGTAAACATACTTGACACAGTGACTATTTGAACAGACCACCATAATCGAACTTGATCCCATTTCCTTGCAGGTGGAAAGGGCATGGGAGGCTGGGAAGGTGGCATTCGAGTCCCAGGAATTTTCCGGTGGCCAGAAAAGGTACCAGCTGGTCAGAGGATTGAAGAACCTACAAGTTTAATGGATGTCCTTCCAACGCTGGCATCTGTGTCGGGAGCGAGTCTCCCTCAGGACAGGTAATGGAAAGTAGCCTGTTAACCAAAAGCTCCTCCTCCCTCTCTTTCCTTCTGAGAAAAGTCAGAACAAAGAAGACCTGGAATCATCATGTGAAGGTCGGGCCCCTTAGAGTAGGAAGAAGATGTCCCACCCATCAAAAAAGCTTTATTTGATTGTATTTTGACATTTCTCCACAATATTTAGGTAGTTTCACCTTCATATATGGCTGTGTCTTTCCCGAATCAGGTATGTGCCAAAGACCAGTCTTTTTTTGATTGACATAAAATATGCATATATAATTTACCAACTTAACATTTTAAAGTGTACAGTTTAGTGGTAATAAATACATATATAATATGTATATTAATTATATTAATTCATAATATATCATATATTTATATAAAAACATATAACATATTTATTATATCTTAATAGTATTTTATAAATTATAAAATATTTATAAATTTTATGCCTATAAGTATAAAATATAAATATATGAAATATAAATATAAAATTTATAAATTTTAAAAATTGTAAAATTTTTATATTTATGCATATAAATTTATTTTATTTTCTAATATATAAAAGATATTATATATTTATATATCAATTTATAGTTATAATTTAAAATATATGATATATATTTTATATAAACATATTATATATTTTCTTTGTTTTCCCTTAACTCCCCTTTCCTCCCTTCCCAGCCTCTGGTAACCACTAATCTACTTTCTATTTTCTTCTAGCCATTATTCTTTAGCTTTCCCATGTGAGTGAGAACATGTGATATGTGTCTTTCTGTCTCTGTGTTGTTTCACTAAACATAATGGCCACCATGTTCCCATCACGTTGCAGCATATGAGAGACTTTCATTCTTTTTATGGCTGAATCATATTCCATGGTGAATAAGGGGGCACCCCTCCAAAAAAACTTGGAATTATCATTTGGAGAGTGAGCCCCTTGTAGTAAGAAAAATATGCTCCCAGTCATCAAAAAAAGCTCTGGCCTTATTTTAGCCAGTAAAGAGAATTATTCTGGATTTATATATAGATGAACTTGTACATTTTTTATGCTACTTAGTTATTCACATTGAGGCTAAACTTTATTTTATTGTTTCAGGATATTTTAAAAACTTAATTAGATTTTTTTAAGGGATGAAGTCTTGCTGTGTTGTCCATGCTGGAGTGTAGTGGCATGATCGTAGCTCACCACAGCCTCAACCTCCTGTGCTCAAGCGATCCTCCTGCCTCAGCCTCCTGAGTAGCTAGAACTTCAAGTGCACACCACAATGTCTGGCTAAGTTTTGTATCTGTTGTAGAGATGAGAGTCTTGTTATGTGGCTCAGGCTGGTCTCACACTACTGGTCTCAAGTGATCCTCCTGCTTCAGCCTCCAAAGTAGCTAAGACCACAGATCCACAGATATGCACCACCATGCCCAGCTAATTTTTATTTTTTAAATTTTGGGAGAAGCAGAGTCTTGTTAAGTTTCCCAGGCTGATCATCCTTTTTAATGTGAGGACCTTAGATGGACCTTGGAAGTAGTTACCTTTGAGTCCTACTATTCTGGAATTTCTGTCTTCACCAACAGGCTGTTGGGTTATGCAGTGTGGCAGATGTCTTAAAGCAATTATCTTTGCATGTTATAACCAAGAAGCTGGGGATTCTGGGTAGTTTCATTTCTTAATCTCATGATGATTTTTTTTTTTTCTTTTGAGTCGGAGTCTCACTCTGTTGACCAGACTAGAGTGCAGTGGCCGCTCCCAGCCACCGCAGCCTCGACCTGCTGGGCTCCGGTGATCCTTCCGCCTCAGCCTTCCGAGTACCCGGAATTACAGGCGTGCGCTACCACGCCCGGCTAATTTTTTGATTTTAGTGTAGAGATGAGGTCTCGCCTGCCCAGGCATGTCTCGAACCCACAGGCTCAGGCAATTCACTCACCTCAGCCTCCCAAAGGCGCGGGATTACAGGCTGAGCCACCGAGCCCAGCTCTCATGATGATTTTTAAAATATTTTTTCTCTTCTGTATTAGCACCATTGATACCTAATTTATTTTCAGGCAGAAAAATAGATTCTTTATCTAAAGCATTATCCTCAAAATCATAAAATAAAATCTAATATTAGTGAGTTGATATGCATAACGGTTAGCATCAAAAAAATGTTTCTAAATGCTAAAAGGGAAAAATAGGAGATGTCTAATAAGTTATTAATATTTTTTCCATAAAAAAATTTCACAAGGATTTCTAAAATATTTTTCTCTTCTGTATTATGTGGGAGGAGAAAAGAAAATATAAAAATCTATATCTAGTTGGGTGCGGTGGCATAAACTTGACATCTTAGCACTTTGGGAGGCTGAGACAGGAGGATTGCTTGAGTCCAGGAGCTTGAGACCAGCCTGGGCAACATAGTGAGACCTCATCTCTACAAAAAAAAATTTTTTAATTAGCTGGGTGTGGTGGCATGCACCTGTAATCCCAGCTACTTGGGAGGTTGAGGTGGGAGAATCACTTGAGCCCAGATACTGGAGACTGCAGTGAGCCATGATCATGTCCCTGCATTCCAGCCTGGGCAACAGAGTGATACCCTGATTCAAAAAAAACCAAAAAACAACTATATCTAAAAAGAATCTTGAGACCAGATGTTGTGGCTCATGCCTGTAATCCCAGTACTTGGGGAGGCTGAGCTGGTAGGATTGCTTGAGGACAGGAGCTCAAGACCAGCCTGAGCAACATAGCAAGATCCCATCTCTACCAAAAATTGAAAAATGAACTGGGCATGGTGGTACATGCCTGCTATCCCAGCTGAGGCTGAGGCAGAAGGATCGCCTGAGCCCAGAAGGTCAAGGATGAGGTGAGCTATGATCATACCACAGCAGTCCAGCCCAGGTGGCAGAGTGAGTCCCTATCTCTAAATCACTAATTGATTAATTAGAAGGATGAGTTGAGAGACACGAGATTGCAGGCTCACTTGATCAGGGGTTTAGGGATATGATTTGGTCTCCATGGTAACATGCATACTACAGCCATGCTATCCTGTCTATAGCTGTGACTACACTCATCATGAAGTAGTTCCTCGGAGGCTGTGCCATGGTTGTAGTTAAACAGGAAGTGATGGGAAGATCACGTAGATAATGATTGCGCCAGTGGAGAAAGACGCGACCTCTGAGCTTCCCCATCAGGCTGCTGTGCTGAGCTGTCATAACTGATCCTGGTTTGCTTGTCCCAGAACTCTTAATCTGAGCTCATAACTTGGTTAGTATCTTTGGGTTGACCAGTTAGATATGTCTTTGCTACCTAGAAAGTACAAGGGGGGGCCCAAAAACCTGAAATTTATTTATTAAAAATTGTGTACTTACTCTCACATGTTTAAACTTGTCACCTTCAAAGTACTCTCCATTGAATACAATACACCTATCGAGATGCTTTTTCCACTGCTCAGAACAGCTTTTGAACTCGTCAATTTTGATGCCTCTTGAACTTCTCTGCCTTTTTTTGTTTCACCTCTTCCACATGGGCAAAACATTTCCCTTGGAGGACTTTTATCATCCAGGGAAAGAAAAAATTGTCACCTGGGGAGAGATCAGGTGAATATGGAGGGTGGGGCACGGGGGTCATGCTGTTTTGTGTCGAAAACTGCTAAACACTCAGTGCGGTGTGGGCTGGTGCACTCGTAAATCACCTATCATAAAGTGGGCAATCGCTTTGAAAGAAGCTCCAGCCGGGCTCGGTGGCTCAGCCTGTAATCCCGCGCCTTTGAGAGGCTGAGGTGAGTGGATTGCCTGAGCCCGCGGGTTCGAGACCCGCCTGGGCAGGCAAGACCTCATCTCTACAATAAATCAAAAGAATTAGCCGGGCGTGGTAGCGCGCACCTGTAGTTCCAGCTACTTGGAAGGCTGAGGCGGAAGGATCGCCGGAGCCCAGCAGGTCGAGGCTGCGGTGGCCGGGAGCGGCCACTGCACTCCAGTCTGGGCGACAGTGAGACTCCAACTCAAAAAAAAAAAAAAGGAAGCTCCAAAAACTTCACTGAAGCCAAATGCAGCCTCTCACAAAACCACCAGCTAGTTCACGGATGCCAATGAGCTCCTGGAACACTTACCTAGCAAGGGGAGCCTGTACTATAAGGGGCCCACCCTCCAAAAGATAAAACTGAGTTTTAGGAGAGTCCCCCACATTCATCTAACATGTAGAAGCAATCAGAAAATTCACACTATTAGGCTTGTTTTTTATGGCCGAAGGCAGGGACACGAGTCTCTCCCAATGAAAGTAACAACATAAAAAACATCAAATCGGGCTCTCGAAATTTCACCTGTACTAAAATTAAGGATGTTGATATTATAAAAACCAAATCATATTTTTTTTAGTCTTCTCTCAGTCACTTTAGAAACCTAATTACCAAGAACAAAATTTAAGTCGTTGAGCAGGTTAGCATTCTGTGAAGACACCTATAGCTATGTAATTTGTCATTTACATATCAAAGAATTATGACATCACTGTGGGACCTGTAGAAACTCATATATACCTTTGCTAGAAAATCTAGTCAAAGCCACAATCCTGTGACCTTGAAATTTATCAAGGCGAGGATCTCATGGATAATTACAGAATGAATAGTCTGGTGCGTGGTGCTAAAATAATTCGCATGTAAGGACCCTAAGTAACGACGGTCATTAAAGTTTCAGAATGAAATATAATTTTCATCATGATTGAAAAGTCAGCAACATAGTGTAGAAGCGATCACAATCATACACGATGCAAATTCTAGAATATTTTATACCAGTTGAAAGGATGGCCTTCTGAAAAGTGCAGGGAAGTTTACCTAAGTAAGCTCAGGTCTTTTGAAAGAAGAAGCAGTAGATTCTGTTTTGCTTCTGAATATGAGGTCCAACAACTAAGTTCATGAAGTCATCCTAGAAAAAGTGCTCCATACCTCGTTTCTGAATCTTACTACATTGCTGAATCTCGACGTCCTTCCCTTGGGAAGCCATGCACTGATGCCAGCACCTAGTCTGCCTGTCAAAGCAATTTTGCAACTCTTTTTCTGGAATGACCGTCAGAGCTGTCATCATATGACCCTTGATGTCCTGAATGTCATCAAATGTCTTCCTTTCGATATTTCCTTTATCTTCAGGTAAAGAAAAGAGTCACTGGGGGTCAGATCAGGTGAGTAGGCAGGGCGTTCCAATACAGTTTTTGTACAACATAAGCACACGGTGGTAAGTTCGCAAACTTCATGGTCAGACCTCAATGAATATTGACAATAGCTCTGATGGCAATTCCAGAAAAATAGTTCCAAAATTGCTTTGATGGGTGGACTAGGCACTGGCATCAGTGCATAGCTTTCCAAGGAGAGTCCTTCAAAGGTGACTCAGTGAGGACGTATGAAGCACTTTTTCTAGGATGAGTTCACAAAACTACTTGTTGGACCTCATAGGTATATTTTGTAACACACACGCAAAGAGTGGTATGCTAAGAATACTTAACAACTGACTCTCAAAACAAGAGTCCTACTTTGGAGCAGTTGCCAATTTCCCTGGTGTAAATATTCCCACTGCAGCTAATTTCAAACTACAAACATTCTGTCGCTGAACATGGGGTTGGGGAGACATACTGCAATTGATCATCATATGGAATATCTACTCTACAGATACAATAGACCTAAATTACTTCAAGTGCATAGATAACAGTAAAAGGCCAACCAGGTGCGGTGGCTCACGCCTGTAATCCTAGCACTCTGGGAACCTGAGGCAGGAGGACTGCTTGAGCCCTGGAGTTCGAGATCAGACTGGGCAACACAGCGAGACCTTGTCTCTATAAAAATGAAAAATATATACATAGTAAAATATAATCAAATAATTAGGAAACTATGAGTTTTTATTGTGGTGGTGGTTAATGACTGTATATACAATTGTCAAAACTTATTAGCCGGGCTCGGTGACTCAGCCTGTAATCCCGCACCTTTGGGAGACTGAAGTGAGTGGATTGCCTGAGCCCACGGGTTCGAGACCCACCTGGGCAACGTGGCAAGAACTCATCTCTACAATAAATCAAAAATTAGCTGGGTGTGGTAGGGCGTGCCTGTAGTTCCAGCTACTTGGAAGGCTGAGGCAGAAGGATCGCCGGAGCCCAGCAGGTCGAGGCTGAGGTGGCCGGGAGTGGCCACTGCACTCCAGTCTGGGCGACAGAGTGAGACTCCAACTCAAAAAAAACAAAACTTATTGAGCTGTATACCTAAAAAGGTTGAGTTTTGCTGTCGTGTAAATGATATTTCAATAAACACAACAAAACTTGAGGGGAACTAAAAAAATGAAATTATCTTTTAAAGGGTAGGCTTTTAATATTTAGTTTATTTGATTGTAAATTTAAACACACACAGCATACCATGTGTCTAGTCTTTGGTATACAGTTGAAATATAGAATAGAATAGAATGGTGCATTGAGTCCTCAAAATATTTTCTTTTTCAAAAAATTTTAGATTATTCTAGGTTCTTTATTTTCCTCATCTAAATTTTAGAATAAGTTTCTCAGTTTTTACATAGACACTTCTGGGACTTTTCTGAGATTGTATTAAATCTATAGATCAATTTGCAGAAAATTGATGTCATAACAACTTGAGTCTTCTACTCTATAAATGGAGTTTATTTCTCTATTTATTTCTCTTGTTAGATGCTTTGTGGATTTCAGCACATTAATTTTTAACATAAGAAGAGGAATCCCTAAACATTTCAAACTTTTTTAGGCTATAGTAAATGGTACTTTTAAAATAATATAATTTTCAGTTATGTGTTGCTAATATAGAGACATTTTTAAAAGTGGGCCTTGTATGGTGTGATTTTGCTAAACTTACTATACATGCCAATAAGCTTGCAGGTGGTAATCAAAATAAGAAGTTATTTTATCTGAGAATAAACATGGTTTTGTTTGTGATAACTTTTAGAATTATCTAGGATGTGTTATATTTTCTATCACAAGTAAAGTCTCATTATTATTGTTTTCTAACATAAGTTACAAGATATATTTTCTAATATAAAATTAAAAGTAGGCTGGGTATGGTGGCTCACACCTCTAATCCCAGCACTTCGGTAGGCCATGGTGGGAGGACTGCTTGAGCCCAAGAGTTTAAGGCCAACTGGCCAACTTGGCAAGACCTCATCTCTATAAAAAATTTAAAAATTAGCAGGACATGGTGGTGGCACATGGTTGTTGTCCCAGCTACTCTGGAAGCTGAGGCTGAAGGATCACCTGAGCCCAGGAGATCAAGGGTACTGTGAGCCGTGATCGTGCTTCTACACTCCAGCCTGGGCAGCAGAGTGAGACCCTGACTCATAAAATAAATTAAATAAAATAAAATACATGATTTTTTAGCGACTCCATAAAAATTCCTTTCTGAAGTCAGCGATCCTATTGCAGATGAGATGCTGATTTACAAGACCACTATAAATACTGAGCAGCAGACGATCTCTGGGTCCACAACTAAGGTGTTTCCTTCACAGGGGAATGCACTGACACACTCCCCCCACTCATCATTTCTCTGCAAAACCCCAAGTTTCTTCTCTTTCCTGGTAGGGTGTTACCCCCCACAAGCTGGCACGACTTTTCATAAATACCCAGCACGCTGTCTGTCCTCCAATCTTGGGGAGGCCTGAGCATCCTTCAGACAGCCTGGTGGTCAGCTTTCCTTCTCTTCCCTCCGTCTATGTCTGCAGGGTGATTGATGGCCATGACCTCATGCCATTGCTGCGTGGGGACGTCCAACACTCAGAACACGAGTTTTTGTTCCACTACTGTGGCTCCTACCTGCATGCTGTGCGGTGGCATCCCAAAGACAACGGTGAGTTCATTCATTTCCCCTCCTCCGTACTGTCTACCTGGGTCATGTAGGTCCATTCTGATCATTTCTTCCTTGTCTCCATGGATAAGTCCTTTCATGCTAGGGTTGTCACTGAAACTACGAAGGGATCCAAAAGTACCCAGAATTTATTTATGAAAAAAATTGTTTGTTTATTCTGACATGTTTGAACTTCAGTCACCTTCAAAGTACTTTCCGTTTGTTGCAATACACCTATCAAGACACTTTTTCATGACTCAAAACAGTTTTTAAACTCGTCCATTTTCATGTCTTTTGGTGCTTCTGCCATTTTTTTGTTTCACCTCTTCCTCATTGGCAAAACGTTTCTCTTTGAAACAAAAAACAAAAGTCGCTTGGGGAGAGATCGGGTGAATAGAGAGGGTGGGGCACAGGGGTCTCACCATTTTTGGCCAAAAACCGCTGAACACTCAGCATGGTGTGGGCAGGTGCGCTCATTAATCACCTATCATGAAATGGGCAAATGCATTGAAACCATCTCCAAAAAAAATTCACTGAAGCCGAACACAGTGTCTCACAACACCACTAGCTGGTCCACAGATGCCAATGGGTTCCCAGAACACTTACCTAGTGGAGGAAACCTGTACTACAAGGGACCCACCCTCAAAAAGATAATTTCGGGTTTTGGGGGTTCCCCCTCATATATCCTCTTAGAAGAGTTTCTCAGAATGACTCTGTTAGAAAGGCAGGCAGCGGGTAGAGAAGGTGCTAATCAGCTTGATTTAGTTATTTCACATGGTGTACATATATCAAAACATTACATGTGGCTAGACACGGTGGTCCACACCTGAAACCCCAGCACTGGGAGATCGAGGCAGAGGACCACTTGAGCCCAGGAGTTCAAGACCAACCTGGGCAACATAGCAAGACTTCATCTCTACCAAAAAAAAAAAATTGTTTAAAGTGAGCCAGGCAGGGTAGGTGTGGTGGCTCATGTCTATAATCCCAGCACTTTGGGAGGCCAAGGTGAGAGGATTGCCTGCCCCCATGGGTTTGAGACCAGCCTGACCAACTTGGTGAGACCTCATCTCTATAATAAATCAAAAAATTAGCCAGGTGTGGTGACGTGTGCCTGTAGTCCCAGCTACATGGGAAGCTGCCACAGGAAGATCATCTGAGCCCCTGATTTTGAGGCTGTGGTGAGCCATGATCATGCCATTGCCCTCTAGCCCGCATAACAGAGTAAGACCTTGACTCCCCCACCCTCCTAAAAAAAAATCACATTTTATGAGAGAAATGTATGCAATTTTATTTGCCAGTTGCACCTTAATAAGAAAAATAGATTTATAAAATAATTCAAAGGATACAAAACTTTCCACAAAAGACAGGGGGACACTTTTAAGAGATATGCATTTTTAGACTGAGTATAGTGGTTTGTGCCTGTATTCTCAGCATTTCAGGAGGCAAAGGCAGGAGGATTGCTTGAGACCAGGGGTTTGAGACCAGCCTGAGCAACATGGCGAAACCTCACCTCTACAAAAAATCAAAATATAAGCCAGGCATGGTGGCACATGCCTGTAGTCCCAGCTACTTAGGAGGCTGAAGCGAGAGAATCGCTTGAGCCCAAAAGGTTGAGGCTGTGGTGAGAAAGCAGAGCAAGACTCTACCTCTATTAATTAATTACTAAATTAACTAATTTTAAAAATAGCCATGTGTGGTGGTGTGCACCTGTAGTCCCAGCACTTTGGGAGGTCAAGAAGGGAGAATTGTTTGACGCCAGGAGTTTAAGACCAGCCAGGGCAACATGGCAAGAATCAATTTCTACAAAAAATAAAAACTCAGCTGGGTATGGTGGCATGCATCAGTAGTCCTAGCTACTTCGGAGGCTGAGGCAAGAGGATCGCCTGAGCCCAGGAGGTCAAGGCTGCAGTGAGCTGTAACCATGCCACTGCACTCCAGCATGGGCCACAGAGCATGACCCTCTCTTTAAAAAAATAGAAAAACATCTATATACATTTTTAGAAACAGAGTTGATGGCTGCTAGAAAATGAGTGTAAGATTTTACTGGGAAATTATAACGTTCTCTTCTTGTTCTAAAGATGCTAATATTTAGCTCTGACCTGTGGACAGAGAGAAAGATCAGAAATGGTCTTTAGAAGAAGGAAGGAGAAAAAAAGTAAACACATTGGTTGCATGCCTCTAATTTACTTTCTTTTTAAGGTGATAAAATAGTCATTGAATACCTTCTCTGGGCTGACTATTTTGTATGCCTAAATAGTAACATGATAACAATTTCTTTTATAAAACTCAATTCCAGCTGAGCATGGTAGCACATGCCTGTAGTCAGGAGACTGAGATGGGAAGATCGTTTCAGTCCAGCGTCCAGGAATTCAAGGCTGCAGTGAACTATGATCTTACCACTGCACACTAGCCTGGATGTCAAAGCCCAACCCTGTCTGTATCTTAAAAAAAAAGGATAATTAATGAATTAATTATAGGTAGATGAAATATTTAAATATAAAATGTAAAATTCAAAATTTTAGAAAGAAATCTCTTTATGTCTCAGAAATAGGAAGTATTTTTTATGTTTTAAATTAACACATAGTGATTGTACATATTTATGGGACCCTTAGTGACATTTTGATATATATAATGTACAGTGATCAGATCAGGTAATTAGCAAATCTGTCATCTCAGACATTTATCATGCCTTTGTGTTGGGAACATTTAATATCCTCCTTTTTAGCTATTTAAAGCTATATATTATTGTTGACAATAGTTATCCTACTGTGCTATAGAAAACTATAACTTTTTTATTTTATGTATTTACTTATTTATTATTTTTTTGAGTCAGAGTGCCACTCTGTCACCCAAGTTGGAGTGCAGTGGCACAATCACATTTCACCTCAGCCTCGACCTCCTGAGCTTAGGCGATCCTTCTGCCTCAGCCTCTGAGTAGCTGGGAGTACAGGCACACGCCACCACTCCTGGCTAACTTTTTTGATATTTTGTACATATGAGGTCTTCCTATGTTGCCTAGGCTGGTCTCAAACTCCTGAGTTTTTGAGATTCTCTGGCCTCAGTCTCCCAAGATGCTGAGATTATAGGCATGAACCACCATGCCTGGCCTATTCTATCTTGAGACGACATGTCATACTTGTGCACATTCATGGGGTACATAGTGATGATATTGCTGATATTACAATACAGATAATGTATTGTGACCAGGTCAGGATAATTATTATCATCTTACAGTGCTATAAAACACTAAGACTTAAGCAACCCCTTCGGGTCCCCTTCCACTGTGGGAGCTTTTCTGTCCTCTCAGTAAGTCCTACTTTCTTAAAAAACAAAAAAACATCAAGACTTATTTTTCCTATCCAGATGTAATTTTTATTTTTGTCAGAGTCTCACTCTGTCAACCAGGTTGGACCACAGTGGCATAATCATGGCTTACTGCAGACTCAACCTGCTGGACTCAAGTGATCCTGCCACCTCAGCCTCCTGAGTAGCTGAGACTACAGGCACATGCCACCACACATGGCTAATTTTTGTATTTGTTGTAGAAATGAGGACTTGTCAAGTTGCTCAGGCTGGTCTCAAACTCCTGGGCTCAAGCAACCCTCTCACCTCGGCCTCCCAGTGTGCTAAGATGACAGGTATGAACCACTGCTCCTGACTAGTAATTTTGTATCTTTTAACAAATCTTTTTTTGTCACTGCACAGTGCAACTATGTAACCACAAAACTATTTTTACCCCCAAAGCTATGGAAATAAAGAAAAAAAATCTCCATGAAAAAAAACAAATTTTTAAAAAAACCCACAAATCTCCTTTCTTCTCCAGGTGGGGCTGTTTGGAAGGTGCATTATGTGACACCCGTGTTCCAGCCACCGGGAGCCCAAGCCTGCTATGAGATTAAGTTGTGTGAATGCTCTGGAGATCTGGTGACCCATCACCACCCTCCCCTGCTCTTTGACCTCTCCAGGGATCCATCAGAGTCCACACCCCTGACGCCTGAGACAGAGCCTCGGTATGACATGGTGATTAACACGGTGGCCAGTGCCCTGGAGAAACACCAGAAATCCATCATTCCTGTCCAGGAGCAACTGTCAGAGTTAAATCAGGACAGGATACAGCTGAAGCCTTGCTGTGGTGTATTCCCCTTTTGTCTGTGTGACAAGGAAGGGTAACTAGCTCAGCCCTGGAGTAATAATTAAAAAAGTGATTAAAACCAGGCCACCAGTGGCCACCAACTCTGGTGCTTTCAAATTTACAAGGAAAGCATTTGAGAGCCAATAAATTTGTCAGATTATTCAACTCCCATAGGTTGTTTCACTTGCTGCTAGCTTTTTTTCTTCCTGTGGATAAATGTCTATTTGATTTTCTTTATCTTTTTGAGAAGTGCTTAGTTTTAGTTTTAGTTAAAATCCACACACTAGTCGCAGATAACATTTTTGCAGAATTTTTCATCTTTTTGAGTTGAGGTCTCACTCAGTCTCCCCAGCTGGAGTGCAGTAGCACAATCATGGCTTACTGAAGCCTTTACCTCCTGGGATCAAGCGATCCTCCTGCCTCAACCTCCCAAGTAGCTGGGCACGCACCACTATACCTGGCTAATTTTTTTTTCTTGTAGAGACAAGGTCTTGCTTTGTAGCCCTGGTTGGTCTCAAACTCCTGGGCTCAAGAGATTTTCCTGCTTCAACCTCCCAAAGTGTTGGGATTACAAGGATGAGCCACTGCATCCAGCCTAGAATTTTTATCCTGCTGTTGTCCAATCTCCAGTTCACTGCTGGGCACTTCATTTATTTTGACCAGCACCAACACTGGTCTTTGCCCTGTCGCCCCCCACCCCGACTGTCTTTATTCTGTTTTTGAGTTCCTTTTGCTGCTTTCTTGAACACTTTTGCTTCTCATATGGGGCCATTTCTTGCAAGCCTGTGTTTGGGTTTATTTTTCTTTGTATTATTGGAGGAATTGCAAATCATGCCAAAGGCCATTGTCTTGGGACCACAGAAATGAGTTCTGAATCCAGACACAAAGACAACATCTGACGCAGTCTTGTCCATTTTGGTTAGTTTTTCCCCCAAAATTTCTGTCTTAGGTGCTGTTGCCTTCCTTGGGAGAAGGACACTGATGACCACTTTGAACTTCCTGGTCTGACAGTTACTGCGTCATTCATGATGGACATAGTTTCTCTGCAGCCAAAGAGGAAAAGAGCTAATTTTTAGTTTTTGAAATTTATTTTTTAGTGTCAGAAAACAAGCATTTTTTACCATCTTCTATGTTTCTTTTCAGAAAATTCTTTATTTTTTCTTTTTAATTTTTGAGTTGGGGGTCTCACTCTGTCACCCAGGCTGAAGTACAGTAGCATGATCACAGCTCACCACAGCCTGATCTCCTGGGCTCAGGTGATGCTCCCACCTCAGCTTCCTGAGTAGCTGGGGCGACAGGTGCCACCACACCCAGCCCATTTTAAAATGTTTTGTAGAGATAGGGTCTCTGTATGTTGCCCAGGCTGGTCTCAAACTCTTGGGCTCAAGCAATCCTGACATTGGTCTCCCAAAGTGTTAGTATCACAGGCATGAGCTACTACACCTGATCTCCAGCAAACTAAATATAAGGTCCTGTGTACATCAGACTCATTGCTCAGTAAGCAATATACCAACCATTTAAATAACAGTGAGAGCCAGGCTCGGTGGCTCAGCCCGTAATCCCGTGCTTTGGGAGGCTGAGGTGAGTGGATTGCCTGAGCCCACGGATTCGAGACCCA